TTTTTTATGTTCTCACATGTGCTTGTTATTTTAATTTTTTTATGGCGTATAAATAAAAAATTCTGACAAATTTTTATGGTGGAAAATTATGTTTTTGAGGAAATTGTATTAAAAATGATAAGAATTTTTGGATTTAAAATACAAAAAAAAATTGATTTTGATTTGAAAATCGAAGTTTCAATCTAATTTATTTTTAAACACATCATAACGATCCACAAGACTCATCAACAACAAGATAATAACACATTTATGCTTCATATTTCTCTTCACAATCTCATTCGCTCACTCATTTATCGATTGATGAAATGCGCTTACCATAAATTCCAAATCTCCCTCATTCTATTCAATCTTCAACACAATTTTTCAGATAATAACGATAATAATAATAATTTTTTCTAAACTCTTTTGATTTAAGCGAATTGACTCATATTCAATGAGTTTTTCAATAAATTCTCGGTTCTTATTTCCATCGTCGACAGCAAGTAGTCTGCAATTCTATCTAAATAGTAAATTACACAGATCAGTGATGGTCAACTTCTATTCCGCGGCACTAGAAAAAATGTGATAAATCCTCCGAACCTTAGTTTTAGTCATGACTTAACATTTGATATAAAATATGTCAGTTAAAGCTTGTTTCTAGGATTCTTACCAACTGAAGTAACCTCAATATACCCAAAAGTTGAAGCTGATGTAGCTTGTTAAGGAAAGCAAGACGAAATTCTGGGTTTGCTTGACGAAATTCGAAGATTTTATTACAAAATTTTGGTAAAGGTTTCAAATCATTTGGTGAAAACATGGCTAACTTCAGTAACACGCTTACCATCAAAGAGTGCCGTAGCTCAAAAAAGGTTGGCCACAACTGACATAGATTGATAGAGAAGCATATCATTTAATTTAACGGGAAATATTCATTTATTATTGATTAGCATGATATTTGTGGGATTGTAGATGGGGTTAAGGTGCAGTTTGGGATGCTGGTGAGGCCATTGAGGTTCCATTGAGGCCAACTATGGATTTTAGCTATTAAGAAGCCCCAATTTGACAGAATTAATGATTGTTGCATTCAGAGTTGCGAGACAGGTCGTCTGTTAACAGGCACAAGCTAGAGATCTATTACAGACACTGCCTGTCAACAGAAATTGCTTGTGACAGGCGACAGACAATTGCCAGATCACAAAACCCCTGAAAAGAGACAGAATCTTTGATTCAGAACCCATCTAATGGAATTTAAATTATGATTTTCAATTTTGAACAGCTTAAAAGCAACAAAACCTATAAAATAAAATCAAAATGCGCTTTAATCACCCAAAAGTTCCAATTCCCCTTTAAACTGTATCACAAAAAACGATCCAAACGAAGTTAGTAATTTCATAAAATTCATTGGATTGATGAAATAAGAAGGAACGAGCACCATAAAACCTCATATATCATCAACATTCAATCTCATCATAAACAAACAAAGACTAGACGATTGATTGAACTATAGTATGTAACGTACTGTTGCTGTATAATGCCATGTTATTTTACTAATGTGTTATGTTCTGGCATTATTTTGTAATTGATATACAAACGCGTATCGCTGAGTGTAAATGAAACCTCCGCTGTGCATTTAATGATGAGTAAGAAAGTTTTACTTAATGAAAAGTCAGAACAAAAAAAATTGCTCCTTTATGTGCTGATTTCCTGTACATTTCGACACATTCTGTGTATTAGAATGAAAATATTTCTATCAATTTATTTTTATACATTTTTGATGTTTGCTTTATGATGGCTGATTGATCGGGAATTGAAAGATTGATGGAGTTTAGATTGAAGTAATTTTGAAGGAATATTTTGAGGGGTTAGGGCGGTGGGCATTGATATTTTTATTAGAATTGGGGATTCAATTTTGAATTTTGGTCCAAAATTTATTTGTTTTCAATAAAAATTGAGCTAGTTTTGTGATAAAATCAGTTCAGCAGCGAGACATTCTCAACAACAAAGATATCCCGAATAGCACAAGTCGGTCAATCGAATAGAAATCTGGCACTAAGTCAGTGTGACTCTGGCATCGTGCTGGATTTCGAATCGATTGTGACTGTTCTGAAGTTGTGCTGTTCGGGATTTCTTTTTTGTTAAGAATGTCTCGCTTTTGTGAGATTAACCGACTTACTCGATTCGGCATTTATGCAATATTGTTCCTTAAAATCAGACTTACTCAGCAACAAATCAGCAAGCATTGTTTCAATTACATCCTCAATTTGACTTTATTTGACACATCCCCCCTTCTTGGAACTCAAATTAATCTCAATAACAGATAATCTCTGACTAAGAGTCACTTATTTAATTAGGGAGTCATTTGTAAGTGATGTCTATCTTGAATTGACTCCCTTCCATCTTTTTCTGTTGGTACATGATTTTCGCAAATTTAGAAATTCTATGTTGACCTTAGTATTATGTATGTGGAGTAGCTACTAAGAGCAACCACACAAAGAGGTGCTACATCATCCAGTTGCTGGATTCCTAAAGTCATTAAAATTTGGATGTCATCTCCAAACATCCCCAGACTCAATCCAAACCCAAAGCTTAATATCAAGAAAAATAAATATAATTACAGACGACGTCGACGACATAAAGTTCAAAGTAACCGTTAATAATAAACAAATGAGTAAAATTATTTAGCAATCCTGCAATAAAAAAAATCAAAATTGAAGGTCAAAGGAAGTTTTTCGTTTTGAAATTAAATCGGGTTAAGATTTGTGAACGATTTTCTTTTGTGCTTATTTGATAGACTTGATTTTATTTGAATTTAATTCAGACACATTTTATTTATAGAAGAACGAATAAAAGTGAAACATTGCATCAGTTGAGATTGAAAAGGGAAATGATGAGTTTTAATGGAGATTGTGAGGATTGAAATTGGCATTAGAGTGTCAAAATATGACTGAAAAATCCATAGATAATTTGTAGGGTCAAAAAATTATGGATTTTCAGGTTATATCGCTAATATTGGTGTTGTAAAATTAAATTGATTATTCCAGTGCTTATTTTGCTTACTTACTTTACTTCCTTTGCTGGCCGTACAGATTAATTGTAATCTATGGCCTCCCTTATCTTAGTGCTTTTCTAAGCTATCAAATTTAATGATTAAGAAGCAGGCGTGGTATCCAAGAGGGCCTTGTCCCCCAAAACGTTTAAGTGGGCGGGGGGGTAAGACTCTCCTAGCTACGCGCCTATTAAGAAGTCAAACTCACGTTCTAATTTGGGTTCTTGATTTCGACTTCTTATCTTAAATAGTACAAAGCGGTCAATCATGTAAATCTAGCGCCAAGACTGCATTACTCTGGCGTGGTGCTAGTTTCGATTTAAATCCAGCACCATGTTAGACTCCATCCAGCACCATGTTAGACTCCATCCAGCTTGATGCTGGATTTCTGATCGATTAACCAACTTGTGTCATGCAGGTATATTAGTCATCATTTAAGGTAGAGCAAGAATAAATCCTGAAAAATCAAGCGCCAATAAACAAATTCCTCAAAAATACCCCATGACAGTAGCCGTGTGTCATAAAACCCACGAAAATTAAATACATTTCAATATCAATCATCCAATTAGTCATTAACGTATTTTCATTAACATCAAGCGGGCGCTTGCTAGCATTCAAAAATGAATGTAAAACACGATATTTTGACTAATGAGACATCAATATGACCCAACATTTCACGCCACTTAATTAAAATTTGAACATCATAAAAGCAAGGTCTTCGAGACAAATTAGTCACATTTGCGTGCATTATAGATCAAGCATCTCAAATTGATTTCAGAAATTGAATTTTTATAAAAGAAGGGGACGCAGACGCGACTGGAACGAGTAAAAAAGAAGAGAACTTAAAGAATTTGACACATGTTATGTTGATTTGTGAAGTGTAAGTCGTCTGCTGTTTTTAACGACTGACTCTCTTTTACATTCTGCCTGTTAAATGCTTAAACGTGTTAAAAGAACTTCTTAACGATCCAGGCAACAAGAATTTGTGATGGATTTTTTTTTATGGATCGAATGAATTTATCGGAAACATCAATTGATACTTTTATTTACTCCAACTTTCCTTTTCACTTCTATACTTGAAGGCAGTCTCTTGTGTTCTTTTTGCACTTACGATTATATTTTTTTTATGGGCAACAACCGGCGATGATGAAATTTATTTCGTCAAAAGCAAAATGAGAAGAAGTAAGGAATGCGAAAAAAATGGAATGGTTTTTATAAAAAAATTAATAAAAATAATTCTGGGATGTTTTTTTTTATGGGTTTTGTGAACTTCCTTGCGAATTTTTTTATTTATTTAATTGATATTTTTTTGTTAAGAAGTAAGAGGCAGTGATGGAGTTGAGGATTTGTAGTCGCAAATTCTAACTCCTCAGAGAATTGTGTAACTTGCCTTCCCCCCATCATCTTGCCTCTTTTCTTGACGGTATCTCTTAGTACAGCTTTTGGAGGTTGAACTGGAAAAACTGCATTGAAAATTGCAGTTTTACAGTTCTCTTAAGTCATAGTTGGGGAGTAGAGAGGGAGGGGGTGTCCAACCACATGGTTATTTCATATTTATACTCAACACTAGGTGCGATATTCATAGCCAAAAGGGACTATTGTTCAGCTCACACGCCTCTAATGAACAAATTAGTGTCAGATCATATCAATACGCCCATATCCTCAAACCATAAAAATCACTTTAATCGCCAATCACCTCTAACAGTAAGTCAGCCCCCGCATGGTAGTTAAAATGTAATTTTTATGTTTTTCATGTTGAACATAAAAATTATTTTCTTGAAACATTATCGGATATATTTTGTTTCGCCATAAAAAGGCCACCAAGCATGACCCAATAAGCAAATCAATTCATCACACTTGTTATCAGAACTTTAACACGAATTTTATTTTTAAATCATAAAGCAATAAAATATGTTGAAAATATTCTTAATTGAATCATAAATGCTCTTTGTTGTTGTATTTTCTCTGATAACAGATTGAAGAGACGAATTTAAAGGCATAAGAAAATATAAACTCAAATGTGAGAGATGGAGAAGAAGGAACGTAGAATATCTCAAACTAACTTAAAGAGAAAGAGAGCGACTCTACAGCCGAAAAGAAGCATAAATTCGAAAACTGTTGGAGAGCAGCAACAACAGCTGCTACCATTGAGGAGGTAAATAATCACATCCATAGTATTTTTCATCATCCTGCATGTTATGCAACACGAACATTTTTTGATGAGACTTAAAGCATGCATGCATACATCATCAACAAGAGAGATGAGAATTCATTTAAAATTGAAAGAATTTTTATTCCATTTTCAGGCTTCATATCAGTGATGATGAATCGACGGAAGAGGAATTTGCAAAACAATTTACGGTAAATTGAAAGTGACAAGGGATGGACACTCCAGAAAAGTATATCAACTTCAAGTTTCCACTATAAAAAAAACCCAAACATTAGTTCCTCAGTTCACAGAACCTTGTCCTTACTTAAAAATTAAAAACACAACCCAGAGTGTCCATCCCTTGACAGAAGAATTAAAAATAAATCACAACATCCTAAAATCATTCCAGAAGTGGAAGTAAAAATACTGAAGAATTTCCCATCTTAATTAAATTCCTCTCGAAATTATTTACAGCAACAACAAAATGCATCAAAATTCCACTCAAAAAGTAGAACAATGCCGAGACTCAATAATAATGCCTTACAAAATCCAAGAAACACGACACAATTGTCAACTTTTCAGCACCAAATACAAATTATACAGCCACAGTTGATTGATGCACATTTGCCACAAATAAATCAACCGAAGAAAATTCCTCCAAAACCACCATTGAGGAAGCAAATCCGACATGATCCGGAAGGAATTCAACAAGTTCAGTCAGTTACGGCTGAATTTCATGAGAAGAAAACTTTTCAGTTGGCGGTTGTTCAACAAACCCATAAATTGGCACTACGTGAAGTTCCAAAGCCACCAATAAATTTTAATCATCAACTGAACCAACAGCAGCAGCAGCCGCACTTGTTGCATCAAACTCAATCATCTTTGTCCTCAATGACTTCATCGACTACTTCTCATTTTCCTAATATTTTAAGTTTTGGCACACAAAATTTCCATTTGCGACATCAACAAATGGCACCAAATCCACAATATTTGCAGCCACAACAAGAACAACATAAAATGAGCAGCAACATGCCAAGAATGAATGTTATGAGAAATCAGCAGCGACAAGTGCAAAGTCATGCACAGTCAAATGGCATGATTGTGGCAAATTACAGCAGTTCTGTGTACGAACGAAGTGATCCGGAGAATCACATTTATGAGATGATTGATGAATCTGAGGCAAATGGTCAGCAGAAGAAAAAGGCAATAAATACTGATGAGGAAATGACGAAGAAGCCCGAACACGATGGAAATGATTTGTTCCAAAATTTGTTACGTACGGAAATGCTGAATCAGCTGCAGTTATGCAAAAGTAACAATTTAAAGGGAAATAATGGATTCTTGAGTCATTTAACACACGAAAAGCGGATGGACATCATTCAGGAAACAGCACTGGCACTGGCCTCGTCAGCTTATGTTGAAAAGTAAGTCACACAATCAATTTTATGGTCTAATTGTCATGAAAGAGCTAGGAGATTCCTTTGTAGACTGTTCTTTGAGTTATGTTAAGTTCAGTGTCCATAATTGTGTCAGTAAATGTTCATACTAGGACAGTGACAAAGTAGGAAAGATGAATGGGTTACGGTTATGATGATTTGTCCGAGATGATGTTAGATTGAGCATTTTTAATGAATTAATGGATTCAGTATCCACAATGTGAGTCCAAAAATCACTCAAAAATAGTTACAGCATCCAATTACTTCCTTGATGCTGACAATGAGTCTAAAAATCGATATTCAAAAAAGTAAACAAGAAAAAAATGAGCTCAAATTTCACAAATGAAATGATTTTAAAAATAGCACAAACAAGCATTTCCAGCTATTGAGATATGAAAGTAACATTCAACACCCGACAATTTTTACTTTTTACTTCCATGCAATCTCGAACGATTGTCAATGAACGGTACTCAATTTTTTTGTTTATTTTTCTGGCATTATTTCCAACTACGGAGTCAGATGTGAAGCAACAAAAGGCAGCGAGTGAAAATTGATGAAGTTTTTCCCATTTTCATGTAAACAAAATTTTTTCAAATTTTTCCGCTCGTCGTTGTCTCATAAATTTTCAGCTGCTCTTGAATAACGAGCAAAAAAATGAGAAATGAAAAATGAATTTTAATTTTCATCATGAGCAGGCAGCTATGGAAATAGGAATGAAAATATGTTCTATTTAAAAATATATCAATGAGGCACTTCATCATTTATGTTTGAAATTTTTGAGACTTTTATTTGTTTGGAACTGTGGAAATTGTGAATTGTTGACTGGAAATTCTGTCATAAAAAGTTGTTGGCATTTAAATTGTGTGACATTCTTAAATAAACATGAGGAAGTGCATCTATAGTGACTGAATATTCTCACATTTTGACCCAATTTTTGAATGACTTAAACAAACTTTATTTTAGACACAAAAAATGTGAAAAATTCTAAACCAAAAATCCACAACTTAGTCAGATTCTACAAACTAGATTATCAACAAGATTAAGCAAGTATCCACAAAACATTTAAGTCGATAAACCAACAGAAACAAAAATATCGACTTAAAAAAATCTCATCTCAAATGAGTCATAAACCTTGTTGCTTTACATGCATGACACAAAATAGAAAAAAAATTCTGTAAATTTGTTAAATCTTTTTCACTTCATAAATTTTCATTGTTAAATTTAGTCGAGTTTTCTAATTTCATCTTAATTAATCATGACATTTATGGATGAAACATGCTTAAGAAAAATTTCTTTTTTGTTCTGCCGAAAATGAAAATATGTTCTGAGTATTTCATTTGTCTTTATTAAAAACATTCGTGGGGTGTTAAAATGAGTTGAGAATTATTGATGTTGATTTAGTTTTGTCAGAGGCGCATTTTTATTTTCAGCCCTTTTCTGGTCTATCCGATCCCCAGCTGTACTTACTGATTTGCTAGATGACATTGCCAAACACCTGACAAACACTGACAGACACTGACAGACACTTACAAAAACTTACAGACTTTGACAGACACTGACAGACACTGACAGACACTTACAGACATTGACAGACACTGACAAACACTGACAGATACTGAAAGACACTGACAGATAATGACAAACACTGAAAGACACTGAAAGGCTTATAAACTGACTGACAAATTGACAAAGGATCTGCAAGCCAGACAAACAGACATACAGCCAAATAAAAGAAATTTTTGAATAAAAATAAAGATAATAAATATGAAAAGTAAGAAATAAGATCAGTTACATCATGTAATCTATTATGTTTATAGCTCGTACAGAACGAATGAATATTTATTGTCACAACAAATTTCCACACTCAACAAAAATACACAAACACGTGTTTCCATTCGGTCTGCACCCTCAAAAAAGAGAAAAATTTCTCCCACGTGCACAAAATAAACATTTTCCAAACCGGTTCGGTTTTTCCTTCCAATTCTCTCACTGTCTCTCTTCTCTCACGAACGTCTGTGAATGAAAATGTGTTTTATGTCATATTACACAATATTATTGTTTTCAATAAGCACTTTTCATTCAGTCTTCATTTTATCGTGCAACGATGCGGTCTGCAGTGTGGAATATTCGCGAATAAAGAAATTTTTTTTTTAAAGGAATGAGGAATTTATTACTGTAGATACTTTAATGTGACATTTTTACATAGGAAAAAAAGATATTTGTTTTTATCTCGGCATGAATGTGAATCGAGGATTACTAGTCGAAAATTAAAGGATTAAAGTGCGATAGTCTGAAAAATATACAAAAGAAGAAAAAAGTAGAGGAGGAGATCCTTATCGTTTGGGATTTTTGATGTGAAAATAAAATAAAGTGAATAAAAAAGTTTTTAATGCTAAATGTTTGCAAAAAAAATGTAATGAATGAAAAAAAAAAGAGTTGAAATGTTTCTGCTTTCTTTTCGTGGAGTTGATTAAGCGCACTTTTTTTTGATTGTGGAATTTTTTTGGGTAGCTCTTGATGAGTCTTTATGGGATATCGAATTGAAATGATAGAAAATTTACAATTTCTAGCATTAAAGATGACAATACTAATTTAATCTTCAAAGAGCTTCTAAGTCTTAAAATAATTTTAAAACATTAAAATTAAATTATAAAGGACCTGAAAAATAATTTTATTAAATTTAAAAAAAATGTTTTCAAGAACTCAGAAAAATAATTTTATTAAATTTATAAAAAAATTGTTTTCAAGAACTTAAAAAATAATTTTAATTTTTTGTCGAAAAACCTCAATCTTTTAGAAAATTAAATCTTACAAATTTAGCTCAAAAAATTGAAAGTAAAATTTTAAAATTCAAATACAAAAAGCAAGATTTTTAAAAATTTATAACTTATAAAATTTTGAAATTTTAAATGTAGCTTCAAAAAATCAAATAATTAATTTAATCTTCAAAACTATTCAAAGATAGTTCATTAATTTCTAAAATTTTAAATTGAAATTTCTTTTTTAAATCTAATTTAATTTATAGATTTCAAAAAAGTTAAACTATAATTTTTAAAATTTTATAAATAAAACATTGCTAATTACAACTTGCACTTAATCTGATTTTCAGATTATTTTAAATATTTTTAAAAATTGAAAAATCAAAAGATAATTAATAAAAAAAAACTAAACTTTTATCGTTGAACAAGCTCAAGTCAGAAGCAACATAATTCAAAAAAAGATATTTAAAAAAATAATTCATCCAATGTTTCGTCCAGAACTAAAGCAACTAATCTAAATTCATCTTCTTAAATCTTAAATTCCAATTTTTCTCAGAAAACTCAGCATAAAAATCACCAGTGATTAATTAAAAAAAAACAGAACAAAATTAAATGGAATTAAGTGAAGAAAATTAACGAATGAATTCCGATCTATCTGTGTCATTCATTAATTATTTGCTCAATTTAGTTGCAGAAAAAAGAAGAGAATCTTGTTGTTTTCTTTTTACACTTTAATAATTCATTCAAGTGGCTGTTCTTTTCATCGATAATCGTTGCTAATTCGATCTTTTTATGGGTCAATATTTCAATTAATATTTTTTTTCTAGATTATGAGCTAATTCAAGAGTATTTATAGCGATGAATAGGAAACTTTTTAAAATTTAATATCTTAAAAAAGATTAATATTAGTAAGTCAATTTTTGGCAGTTTTTAGAGCGTTAGCAGAAATATTTTCATTTACTTGTAAAATCAGAAATCCGAAGTCAAGTCAGCGTATCAAGCGTGTCAATAAAATCTTTAACTAGACTCTCAAGCCTCTGGTATCAGATAAAGCTTTATTTTAGACTCATTTGCTTTTTAAGTGACATCTTAGGCAATACTAGTGCTATTACTAAATAGTCAAGAACAATTGTTGTCCAATACATTCGTCAGTTGTATTCTGTAACCTCTCATGTAGGTTCTTATATACAAACTGAAGCTTCAATTAACTATTAACTTAGAATTCACAAAGTACGGCTTTTGTCAATTCAAGATATCAGTTTTATAAGAAGCTATCATCCAAAAAATCCAAATTAACATGCAAATTATTTCTAATTAAAAAACATACCCAGCCAATTTGCCCATCAAACCCTAAAGCAAAAGAGATTACAAGAAAAAATTCCACTTTGCGAAAATTCAGCGCTTATCACGAAAGTAAAGAAGTAAAAAATCAAGGGAGCAAAAATTTTGTTAAAGTAGATAAAAATCTGTGCAAAAGAGTTGAAAAACATTATTTTTATCCTCATCTCCTTTTTCCAGAAATTTTTGCCATTCATCCATTCATGAATAAGAGTGCACTTGAAAGAAAGATAGAAGCATAAAGATTGTGTATTCATGTAAATAGACATACACAAGAGCTAAAACGTGTATAATGAATGAATCTCAACTTTATATACATCACAGAATGGATATAATATAGAGAATAAAGTGATTCATGGATTCCCTGAAAATAAATGAAGGAAAAATATTTTTTTTCGGTTCTTAAAGTGAATGTGAAATGTTACTGAAATTATTAAAATGCTTTAGCATTACAACTCTGTTGTGGATTCATAAAAATTTCATAAGGAAAAATTGCAGAAAATTCGTTTATTCATAAAATAATAATCACAAAATGTCTAAAAGGTATAATCAACAATTAAAAATTTAAAGAATAGAAGAATGAAAATTGCTTTTGATGTCTGAGTAATGAATAGGATGGAATTTTTGATATGATTTTGTGAATAGAATGTTAAAAGTTGATTGTGTATTGTTAGGGGAATTTAAGGTGGATTAAAAGTGTTGGTCGGTGAAATATAATTATTTTAATGGTGTATCCTTAAAAATATTGTCTAAAAATTAATCATGATTCTCTTTGCGATGACGAAATACAGCAAAATCTTGTGTTTTGAGCAAGATTTAAGAGAATCTGTCAGTGCAAGAGTGAGTCTTCTGTGGCCAAGTGGTTTAACAACTGATCAGAGGCCTGCAACTCCATTTTCTGTGAGGATGTGGGTTTGAGTCCTACAGTGAATTATTACATAGAATCGTGTTAAAGAAATGTGTTCACTGCTTGAAAAATTCAAGCTTTTCTATCATAATGTTTGGACTCTTAGATTGCTAGAGCCTCCGATTAGCTTGGTCAAAATCGTAACTTGTTTTGTAAAAGTCTTTGAGCCTTCTTCTTCAGCTAGTTTCTAAATGAAACTCTAATACTTTGAGCAGACTTTTTAACCCGGTTTCTATAGCTCCAGTGCCTTATACACTAGTCACCGTCAAATTTTATTGTAATTCCAGTAAATTTACAAATTATGATAGAAAACCTTATCACAAATCAACATTCAATTCCACTTCCACCAAAAACATTCCAGACATAAAAGCAATTAATTCCCAATCAAACATCCCTCAAAAAAACATTAAACTAAATACCAAGCACCCATAAAAAAATCAAAGATTGATTTTGTCTCGTCAAACATTAATTGATTGTGGTATTAAATTAATTTTAATAACAAAATTAATTAGCGTTGTTTATTTGACGAGATGGATTATTTGCTCTGTGGTAAAATGTCATTGGATGACAAGTGATTCGATAAAAAAAATTAATTCATCATGTTGCTGCCTTATTTGCTTCTCCATCTTTGTGACGTTATAATTGATTGGATTAAATTTGAAATCTCTCGTTGAGGATGATGGAAGATGCCAATGGATAGGAACAAAGTTGATTGATTTTTCTTCGTTAGGAAAAGTTTATTTTTTATATTCGAGGTTTTGTGAGAGGATGAATAATGGAAATAAATTATTGTGAAAATGTAAAAAATTAAAATTGTGATGAAAATATTGGTGTTTGAAATGTGAAAAGTTCAAGGATTAATGGAACTAAGGCTAGATTTTTTTAACAATTTTTTTATTTTCAAAATTTTATAAAATCTAATTTTTAAAATCAAAAAATTTTAAAATTAATTGTTTTAAATTTAGAATTATTAAAATAATTGTTTTCAAATTCAAAATTTTTAAACCAATTTTTTTTAAATACAAAATTTTTAAATTGAACAAAATTTAAATTTAAAAATAAAAAAAATGAATTTTTTTATAAATTAAAATTCAGGATTAGATCAATTTAATTATCTTTTAAAAATAATAAAATAAATTCAAACAATTCAGATTCCAATAATTTTTGATCTCATTAATCCAACTCAATAGCTTTCACACTTCCTCATCACTAAAACAATTCCTGTCGTAATTGCCCAACAATTTATCACAATATCAATTTACAACCACACGAAAATTAATTATCCAAAATTAACAAGCAATAAAAGGACTATGAAATAATGCAATATAATATATTTTACTGTGTAATATCTCAAAATATTAATGAAATTTAGTGAGCTTACAAGTTATACCATGACTGTCAAAATATATCACCAAAAGTGCTGTGTAATGGATTATCGAATTACGGTGGACTGTGGAAATTGTGCAATAAAATACTGTTGTGGAATTTAATTTGAAAATTATAAAAATAATTAATGGAAAAATTATGAAAGTGCTAGAAATTTTGTGATACACTTGATTGTGATTTAAACAATTTTAGCTATTTTTTTAATTTACATCAAAAAACCTAAAAGTGAATTTTCACGACAAGAAAAATCAATCAAATAATTTTAATGGCTCAACTTTGAAAAACCTGCTCGAAAATCAAACAAAAATAATATTTTTGACCCTTTGAGGTCATCTTGATAGCACTTGGCATCATTTAAACCCTCTTTTTACTCAAGCAGTATCCAGAACTTACTAAGTATCTCTAAATGCCACAAGGACAGAGATGTGAACATTTTTAATGATGTAAAGGGCGTCACAAATGAAGGGCTTCTTTATTATCAATTTTGAAGACATTAGTGAGTCTTAAGTGATTGACCCCCTATCTTCCTCCAGTTGTTGATTTTTTGGGACAACAAATAATTTTAAAATAATTTAAATTAAAGCCAAAATTAAATCTCCAACTCTCTTCCAGAGCTGCTCAACGTATGGTGTCAGCAGCGAATGGCACCAAAAGTACTCGATATCATGGAGCAGAACGAGGTGGATTTTGTGGATCCATTCAACGTTCGCCACCTCCAATGCCAGCATCACTCGCACGTCGCATGACGAACAAAGAAAGTTTGGGATTCGGAAGGGTAAGCATAATAAGTGAAAGACTGAAACAAAAGAAGTGAAATGAATAAATAATTGAGGAATTTTTAATTAGTAAAAGTGCTTCTTGATTCCTCATCTACTGTACATGTCAGTGCTAGTTATGTGTGAAATTTTCTGACATTTGAATGTCACTTGGAAAATTTTCTCTCGGTTCCTTTTTAAATAAATATTTTATGAACGATTCAAATCACATCTAATGAAACATTTGATAGACATAGAATGAAATTTTTACCCCAATTTTCTGGCTATGAAAATGAAAATTTGAGAGTTTTCGGTGTGAAATCTTAAAAGTTTTTTTTTGGGAGATTATTAAAAATTCATAAGATTTCCTTTTTCTAAGTAGAATTTCTAGTTAAATTTTTGTATAATCATTGTTGATGTGAATTTGATATTTTTATGTCATACTAGAATGAGTTTATCGTCTTTTGTGGGGGTTAAGTTCATTTGTGAAATTAAATTGAAGACAAAGCTATTTTTTAAGCTAGAGTTGAGATACATGCACTTGTACACAGGTGAGAACCGTACAATTATTTGATAATTTATAAGGTTTTTCTCAAGGGTGTGGAACTAAAGGATTACATTTTGATAATATTTTTGATAATTTTTTGATCATTTTTGATCATTTCATCAGTTCCACACCCTTGGTTTTTTAACAAAACCATACAAATTCTAATAAAACCTAACAAATTATCAAGGAATTGTACGGTTCTCACTTGTGCACAGGTGCTTGAATCGCAATCCTGTTTTAAGCTAGATTTTTTTCTCCTTTTTTGAAATTTTTAAGTTAAATCTTAATTTTTATATTTTTTTCCAATTTTTTCAAAATTTTTATATTTTTTTCCAATTTTTTTAAAATTTGTTTATTTATTTTTTTGAATTTTTTGCACTTTCAAAATTTAAAAAAAATATTTCAAAAAATTTTAAATTATTTTCAATAATAATTTTTTTAAAATTCAAAAAAATCCTTTAAAAATTTTTCGTGTGCCATTTCAAATTAAGCACACAATCATTCAAAATTATATAACCACATCTAAAGTAATTGAATACTTAATGAGGAACAAAAACTAACCCAAACCCACTTCTCCATTCTGTCACATTTCAATCATTCTAGTCACTCTATGTCTCTCAGAATTTGTAAAAAAAAGGTATTACATGTTTTATAGTTTCAGTATCCGTACATGTACAATAGTTGAGCAATAAATACTGCAAAGAAGCATTATTCTAGTGTTAAAATTTTTCATATTTCAAAAAAATAAAAATTAAATGAATAAATTCGAGAACAAGAGGCAAAAAAAAAGATTTATGTGAAAACCTCAAACCACAAAACTGCCCATAAATAAGTGAAAAATATCTCTCATATGTGCCTTCAATTATATGTGTATGAAAATAGGTGAAAGTGATGCTACGTGTATCCGACAATCCACCCACAGATGGTGAGAAGAGTGTCAGTTATTTATCGATCGATAAAAAGAAGCGACAAGTTACATTGAGTGAGCCGACAAATGCTCAAAATGTGACGGGACAGAATCAATCGTCGAGTAGTATTGCCGCTCAGGATCGTGGACCGATGGTGTCGGCACCGAAAATGTTTGCTTTTGATGCTTTACATACGAATGATGATACTCAGGTATGTGAATTTATATAAATAATTACACAATATTTATCACGTCTAGTCTACTTTTAAGCCTCGAAAAAAGGAAGACGAAAATAATTTTTCAACCCCAATTTTCCAGCCTTTTAAAATTGTTTTTGACTTTATTGTGCTCCTCAGCTTAATTTTGTTGATAAGTGTATAACAATGTTAAGTAATTATTATACCCCTGACATTGCCTTCATTTCAACTAATGACCTGACATTTTTCAAATGTGGGAGAAAAAGTTGAAGGAGCAAAAAAACTGCTGTTGAGTTTGACAAGTTAAAGCTGAACTCATTGAGGGTTAATGACGCATAACTCTCGATTAGTGGTGGTCAACATTTTTTGTGGCACGGCACATTTTAATGGTAAGCCATTACTGAAAAGGCACACAGCATACGGTTCGTGGGAACTTTCGAATTTTTTCACAGCACACTAAAGTGCCGTAGCACATGGGTTGATCATCACTGCTGTAGAGTAAAAAAAGGAGAAAATTTTAAAATTTGGTGAAATTGGCTTAAATTAGGAAGAGTCAGAAAGGTTCTAGGTTCTGCAAAAATTTAAATAAAACCCTTATTCAGTTTTGGAATAAAAAATGTTATTTTTAAAAAATTCAAATTTTTATTTCAATAAGTAACAACAGTCCACCAAAATGCCTCACAATAGCCCCAATCTTCCTCAAAAATTCAATCTTCAAGAATCCTATATTCCGTGCACAAAGCCCCGCACGATATCCTTACAACTGTAACCTTTATTGGAATGATTTATTGTCGTCACCGCATGACCCCCGTCATCATAATCATAGCGAGTTCCCTCGTCACACAAACAAAATAAAATAATATTGTAAAAAAATTTTTGTTTCGTCTTCGCTGATGAAAATCACTGTGCAGAAATGATTTAATCAAGAGAATTTTGCTTCCCCAACTCATGTTTTATATCTTGTTGAGTTATGTCTAAGGACGATGTTGTCATTAATTGCAATTATTTATGCCAGTGGTGTCCAACCTTTTTTGTCTCACGGTAAACTTAGTGGTAAGTAATGACTAAAACCGCACACAGCATAAGGTTTGCGAGATATCCCAAATTTTTAAGAGCACATTAATGTGCCACGGCACGCAGGTTAGCCATCACTGACTTATGCTTCTTCATCTCACTCCTACGAGACCACACTGCAGATATTTTCAATAATACTAGGATTAATGTCGTCTTGCTGAGAAATGCTATAAAATATTTAATTTTGTATCGATGAATCGTCCCTAATCATATTTGTGCATACTTATTAGATGTTTGGAGGGGTTTATTAGATTGCATCATGTGGTTAAAGGAGGATTGTTAAGGAATTTCAGGGCTTTAAGAGCGTCTTTATTTAAAAATTTGGAATATTCTCAGACTAGCCCCCTCCTCGCTCCAGGAACCCAACATCCGATCCTTTAATTCCCTTTAAGATAAACTTCAAATACGGTGACATGCTGAGTATTTGTCATAGATTCTATTTGATGATATTGATGACACAAGAAATACACAAACTTTACGCACATGCTGAATTATTGTTGTGCTTAATATTAAATTTTTCATCCAAAATAAAAGCAAAAGTCTTGATTTCATTTCACAATCTGTGTATGTTTGATATTATTATCCACTGTAATAAATCAGATGTAGGAGAAGTCAAGGCAGTGGAAAGAAAATTTTTTCTTCCTTTTGATGCTGAAAATTCATGAGGGAGACATGGATCGTGAAAAGAAATTTTCTGCTCTTTAGCAATCTTTATCTTGAAGGTTTTTTTCTCGTTGAATCTTTGTGGATTTACTTTTTTAAAGATTTATTAAAGGTTGTTGGGGTTCTGATGAATCTTTTTAAACGGATTAATTTTGAAAAAATGAAATGAATTAATAAACGATAGCTGTCAGACCTTAGAGATCCATAGCTGTGCATTATCCCTAATTGCACAAGTCGACCAATCGATCAAGAATCCAACACCAACCCGGTGTGACTCTGACATGATGCTGCATTTAAATCGAAGCCAGCACAATACAAGAGTTATGCTGGCTTGGCGAATTTTCATTCGATTTACCAACTTGCGTTCTTGGGGAATGTGCATTACAAGGCTAAGGATGAGTGACCTCATACTTAAACCTACATTTATAATTCATGGTGGGATCCAAGCAACTCTTTTGGTGACATTACTTCCTGTAGCCTATAGAAGCAAGCTGTGAGCCTCATTTCCAGTACTTACTGTACAAAAAAAACTAGTTTAAAATTGCCCATGCCTAGTCTTGAACCCATCATTGCCCCCCAACCTGGCTACACCCCCTGTCTTTACCAAGCGATTAAAGCCATCCTAACCCACTCATAACCCACAAAATCCACATTAATAAATCATAATTTCTTCATAAATGCAATTCACATATAAGACGAGGGGAAAGACACAACTAAAGTCGTATTTATGAGATCTGTCAAACGTATACCTTCATTTTTGTTACTATAACATTTACTAAGACTTATGATTATGATGACTCTGCACACGTTTAGAAATGATATATTAAAGACAACAGTGGGAAAAAAAGTTTAGAAAAAATTTTATTTCATCCATGAAAAATTACGTGCGACGAATGAAATTTTTTTTCTTCTTTTTTTTGACTTGACTAGCATAAGCAGTAACCCCACATTTATTATTAATGATGAAATCACAGAATTTTGAGACATAATAATTTTTTATTTTTTTTCCAGCTTGATGTGTGCGCTTCAGCCTTGTCAGAAGTTATTCCTGCAGTTTTAGATGGTAGTGATGGGTGTTTACTTTCGATTGGATATCCAGGCGCAGGTGAGACATAAACATCATAATAATAATATTAATAAAGAAGAAAAAGGAAGTCGACACGCAATTTTAAATCCATTTTATGAAGTCATTTACCATAAAATCTCAATTTCAATACTTATTTTATGCATGACTTGTCAATATTTGTGTGACAATATAAACATGAAGGGATGTTTTGAGTATATTATGGTGGTGGATAGAGTGTATGAATTATTTGTAGGAGGCGATTCTTTTATAATGTGTGGAATTTAAGAGTATTTTTAAGCTAGAGATGGCAAAGATGTCTTATAGGTAGTGATTTTTAGCGCATTTTTGAAACTTGTTTCGAAAAGGTAGCTTAATAATTCACTTTGTTCGTTCGTTCGTTCGGGCGGAAAAAACTTATTAACTAGACATCGTAGAGAGTTCAAAGTTGTTTTATTAGCTCAGGTCCATTGTTTTATTTCGAGGAATCGCATTTAAAAGTCTTGAAACAGTGTTTTTGTACTATTTAAAGCTAGTTTTTTAAAGTTGTATTTTACTAAGGTCCAGGGCATAGCTAGGAGAGGTTTTAGGGTCAATCTTTTTTTTTTGTAAAATTTCTTCAATTGCTAGGGTTTTTTTGAGAAAAAAATCTAAAAAACCCGTCCAAATTTTTGTAATAAAAATTTTCAAAGCCCCCCAAAAAAAAATTTCGGCTTTGCCCCCTAATAAGGTTCATTAATGTCATCGTTTGATTAACTTAGAGAACATAAAATTTTATTAAAAAAATTACTAAAAATGTGTCATGATAAATGATAGCCCGATAATCTTTATATATTTTTTATTTTAATTTATAGGACTTGAACCTTTCAATTTATAATTTATTTGTAATTTTTCCAATTTAAATTATATTTTACTTTACACTAAATTTGCTAAAACTAAGTTTAATTTTAAAATTCCAAATGAATAAAGTTTTGAATCCACATTAAATGAAGCATACTAAATCGCATCAAAATATCAATTTCCCTTAAACAAAAAAGGGTTGAAAAATTCTAAACAAAATAAAAAATTACCCTGAAAATTTAATAAAAACATGAAGGCAAAGTTGACAAGTAAAGTGAGGCGAATTGTGAAATGAAAAATAAACAAGATTTAAATAGAGTTTCTAGTGCTTAGGGATTGAAAAATAAAATGACAGAGCATTAGTGGAAGAGACCTCAAGTGCTTAAAAATGTTACAAAAAAAAGTATAAGACTTTATTTGACTAATATCTTTTTTCACTTTTCAACATTGTGTCATACACACATTTTTCGCCTTAACGTTAATCTCGCTCTTGCTTGCTCCCCCGGACAAAAAAAAAGAGAAATTTTATAATATAAAGAAAAATAACGGCAAGTGTCAAAATAAATCTTGTGAATATTTCTTTCCATATGAGTTGAGTTGTTGAAATTCTAAGAATGAGAAAGAAAAAATAGACGAGTAGGAAATTTGATAAGATTGAAGATATAGCGACATTTTTTGGAATCTCTAAATCTAATATTACTTTTGTTGATTAGAATAATCAAGAAAGCATAGAATTGTAGCATATTAAGATATGCTCACGGCAAAAATAAATTATTAAAGTGCCTAAGTTCGAATCCTATCATTACAATAGTCTTAATATCTGTAAATAGGTACAGCTTTATCTTTTGGGCAAAATATCATTATTTTTTCAAATATCATTTTGATCCCTGCTTATTCAAAAATTACAGTGATTCTCAATAATTTTTTCAATCCACCGTAAGATGCATGATGTGATAGTCATGAAAATTTGAAGGTTTAACTTAGCCTAGAAATTTTTTTTTTGATGGACATCAGGTATCCAATCAAGGATCTAGACCTAACCTTTTAAGAGCCGTTCACTTATGACGTTCACCATTGAGGATGATTCAAAAAAATTTGTGAAACATGGTGATAGAGAGGAAGGGGGGTCAGAAAATTAGTGACATCCAATTTTTTAATCAGGATTGATTGATTGGACGTCACAAGGGATGGAGGGGGGTTGACACCTGAGACAAAAGGTGAGAGGGGGTCTGAAAATTAGGTTTTTTGATGGACGTCGTAAGCGAACGGCCATATACCATGAACCAGGCGCGTAGCCAGGAGGGTATTGTCCCCCTTTTAAGCATTTTAGGCCGTGCGTTCGCTGTGGTTCTAAACGTTTAAGGGGGGAAAAGATCCTCTTGGCTAGACGCCTACCTAGAACCTTATGTAAATTATTAGGAGCACAGAAAAATTGTCAAAAAAAATGTTTCATCCTTTAAGCCACCTTAAAACTCAATCCCAAAGCACTCATAATTCCACAAAAACTCGCTATCAACCGAAACAAAAAATAAAGATTAAACTAGAAAAAAATAAGAGTGAGAGAAATTTACTCGCTACAAGAAAGAAACAAAAAAAAATTTGCGCCATAAAAAAAACTTCTTAAACATATGGCGCCCCTCAGTATTTAAGTGTTTTCACATTGTTCCGCCAATAAATCACTTTTTTAAAGTCTCTTAGTCGTGAGTAAGTGAGGTACCCTTTGCTCTTTCCGTCTGTATGTTGTATGCATATAATACAGCGATACATAAAAAATCTGTTAAGCTGTTGATAAATCCTTAAAAATGCTTCCCATGTTTTTCTTTTTTTTATTCGACTCCATCCACATCCAATTTATCTTCTTATAAATTTTAATTTTTCTCCTCTCTCTTAAATTATTTTTTTTACAGGTCAAAATCGTACGATGTTGGGATCTGTGGCAACCACAAGTGATTTAGGTGCTATTCCATGTGCTATTTCATGGCTTTATAAAGGTATCAACGAGAAACGTCAAAAGTCAGGTGCACGATTTTCCGTACGTGTCAGTGCTTTAGGCATTAATGCTACTAAACCCGGTACGAGTGCGAAGGATTTGCTGGCCAGTTTAGCGACAGGTAATAATTATCTTAATGTGTATTATAGAGGCAGAGAAGTTTTGAATGACACCCCTTAATTTTGTTTGTTATCTAATGACTTCATTTGTACACGCGGAGGAAAATTTTAAAGGATTTTTTAAAAATAAAATAATTTTTGTTAAGGAGTTAAAATAAGATTAAAGTCTTATATATCCAATTTAGCATTCATAAATCAAATTAAAAACTTAAATTGGAATCAATTTATTACACAAGAAAGAGTTCGAATCCTAAGTTATTAAGGAAGTTATCTAATTTTTTGCATCCACTTGTGAAATTTATTGAAAAATTTCTGCATCAATTTGTGAAGCATATAAAAAATTTCTGCATCCACTTGTGAAGTATATGAAAATAATTTCTGCATCCACTTGTGAAGTATATGAAAAAAAAATCTACATCCATTTGCGAAGTATATGAAAATAATTTCTGCATCCACTTGTGAAGTATATGAAAAAATTCTGCATCCGCTTGTGAAGTATATAAAATAAAAAAATATTTTTTTCCACGAGTGTTAAAACTACCACACAACAGCAATATCCTTATCATATTTTCCATTTTCTATTTTCAATATGTATGTCTCTGACCCCCTGTGGGCAATGAACACTCATATCATAAATACCATCTAAAAGACAAAACAGACTATAATGTATGTTAGGAGTCGGAAACAAAACAAAACCTGAGAGATGAAAATGAAAACCACATTAAATAAATGAAGAAATGTATAATAAAATCAAATAAAAACGTTCAAAAAGCTGCTACTCATAATGCTCATTGCTGTGTATAACGCTATGCTGACTTAAAATTCCCCACAATCCAATAACAACAAAATAACAGGAAAATAGAGAAATGAAATAGAAAATAAAAAACTCTAAATAGAAAGTGTAGAGAAAAGGGAAAATTGAAATGTTGATATAGGAAAAAAAGGCAAAAAAAGACGGTAGTTAATGGATATGGATATGAAGTGAAATGTGGATGGGGAGATGAAAGGGAAGGATTGTGATATGCAAATATGTAAACAAATGAAAGGTGGATTGTAAATTGTAATTATTATTATTATTATTATTATTTTTACGATTATTATGAGAGGGTTGAGTGTGGGATTATTGAAAATAGGGGATCTACTGTTGAATTTGGATTGAATTTCTTAGTTTTGTTTTAGTTGAAATTGAGAATTTAAATATTTTGATTCATTTAAATATTGACTTTTATGAACCATTTAATTATTTTTAAATTTTATAGTTGAGTACTTTGAAAAGATCATTTTATAATTTATTACTTTTTTAAATTCCTACAAAGTCAGTGTTTAAAAATATGAAATTTAATTTATTAAAAATTTGCAATTTAATTCTTTAAAAAGAAAGAATTTTAAAAATTTAAAAAAATCATTTTTCAATTTATTAATATTAGGAAGAATTTTAAATTTTTCAAAAAAATCATATTTCAAATTTTTAAAAAAATCAGAAACTTAATTTTTTAAAACGTAGGATATTTAAATATTAAAAACAAATCATTTTTAAATTTTTAAAAAATAAAAAAAATTACAACTTACAATTTATGTAAATTTTTGAACCCCCAATTCAATAAAACCAAAATCTTAACCGTATCTCACATCCATTAATGCCATTTATGCCTCCTAAATGTCTATAAAAATCCGACTATTTTGAACTCTCTATTTAGATTCCTCATATCAACTCACTGCTTATTAATGGCACATAATGGCGTTGTGAACAATGATGATTATTAAAAGGGCAACAAAAACTATGAAAAAATAATTAACGGGATTTGAGCATTAATGTACATGTTAGGGAGCGCGAAGTGCGCTTATTTACGGATGCGGTTATAAAAAATATAGCTTACTAACGCTATTAAGGCACTTATTGTTATTGTGACTAGGCACAATTTTCATATATTAGCGGAATTTTGGAGGGAATAAAGGAATTGAGTTGAAGCATGAATTTCATTTATTTTTTGGGGAATATTTTTCACACGAAGGGGTCATAAAGGATGTAATTTTGATAATTATTGGTTGTTTATAGGCTTTAGTGTTATAAAATAATTCAAACGTGAAAAAACCGTTAAAATTTTATTTGGATTTCAATAATTTGGTGAATTTAAATCTTAAATGACGGTTAAAAAATTCTAGTTAATATATTTTCACACTCTAATGATGTTAATTCAAAAAAAATCTATGTCTTATTGGGATGTCCAACTGTGCATTTTTGAGTTGAACACGTCTAAAATTACGAAACATCATAGACAACACCAAAGTTCTGCATTGGATGTGTTAAGTAAAAAATAAATATTGATAAAATCGTGAAAAGTAAGTTTATTTACTCATCAAAGTGTTTTCTCGGTATCACTTCCAATCTTTTCTGTCCATATTTCCCATATATAGCATGTGCATTTGGTCTATTTACTTTTCCTATCAGTGTCACTTCTGTATCTGTGTATGTCACTCCCAATTTTCATTTTAACAAGCTACATTCTTTATGTCTGATAGAAAGGGATCCCGGAAATTTGTTTGAAGAGTGTCTATCTTGCCTTGTTGTTGCTGTGTATCACTAACAAGCCTTTTCATTTCTTTCTGTCCTTTTTCTTCAACTTTAATGCCACTTTAATTTGTTTTATGGACTGAAATGTCTCTTTTTCTTTTCAATTTCTTGTTGTTGGTGTCCCTTGATGGGACAATGTCTTTCTTTGTTTGATTCTTTTTTGAGATGGTCATAACAATTGGGAATTTTAAACGCATTTTTTCTTTGGGAAATAATGCGCTTATGGGTCCACTTTGGCTGGTTGGCTGGCTCCTTAAAAACTCAGACCTGGAAGCACTTAGAGACTTCTAGTTTATGGATATATTCTGGGGAGTTATTTAAGTTTTGGCTCATTGTTCTAGGATTATTTGAATGTTTTGTGATAAAATAAGCCACTTTACAATTTATTTATTATTGCCAAGGATGAGGGAAGGGCGCGGGGGGCTCGATGAAAAAAAAAAGAATAAAAACAAAACAAAATAAATTTTAAAATCTATCAAATAATCAAACATCAAACCACAAAATAACCAACTCCCACCCCCATCCAAATCCAACCAACAACCAGCTAACAAGATTAACATATTTTTATTCAAATTCTGCACCGCAAAAAAAAAGTTGCACAACAGATTGAATCAAGTGCCTCGAATCCAATTTATTCATCTAACAAGATTGTCAAAGTGAAATATTGAAGTCATTTACTATGCAGAAAATGCGATAAAAGTTGGTGAAGAAAATAAGGAAATAATTTTTTTAAAGAGTGTTCATGCTGTGACGAAAATGAACCGAAAAAAGGAACGAAAAAAAACTTTCTCGACATTCTTCAAACATTCTTCGACATTTAAATGAGAAAAGTTTTTTTAGGGGTCATTTGGAAATGATGTGAATTAGTAATTGGCCCTTTAACTTCCTCCTAACCTTGAAAGAATTCTTTATTACATTCCAGACTCATTATTTCCCAAAAATATCGACCATCAAGCATAAACAACCCCATTCTTATCCTTTTTAAATAAATCTAGCTATGCGTACTCAAGAAACAAAATCAGAGCATAATAGACAAATGAATGGAAATTGAATTCATGAAGGAAACCGTTTATGATCATTAAATTTCTCAAGAACAAAATCGAGTAACAATGAAGCAGGAGAGCCGTTTTAAAGAGGAGCTATAAATGTAATGGCATTTTATCAAACTCTCAAATGAACACTCAAAATGAAAATGTATGTGCTTGTGTACTTACTTACACTTCAAATTTGTGGACTTGGTGAAATTTTAGTGCTTTTTCTCTCCTCAATGGCAATAAAAAATATTTTCATTTTCATCTATTTTTTACGAATATACTGGAAACCAGTTGCAGAAGCTATAAAAAAATCTCGTCAGCATCATAATAAATTTTGCTGCTTTTTTTTTGGAATAGCAATGGCACATGAATCTAATATTGAGTTTATTTATGCTGTTGTTCGAATTCGTGGACTAGAGTTTTGGGAAAATTGTTGGAAATTTTTAGTTGTGGATTTTAAAGGAGTTTTGGTGAATTTTGAATAATGTGATTTTTATTGAATTCAGAAAATTATTATAATTTCTTAACTTTTGAAGGTTCGATTCCTTATCCGAATGGCACGAGTCGGTTAATCAAATAGAAATCTTGCACCAAGCTTTCATAATAGCTCTAGCATGGTGCTTGATCGATTTGAGTAAGACTCTATTGGCAGAGTCACGCAGGCTTGTGCTTTTTTGAGTTGTTTAAAGTCTCAAATTTTAGTCCAGGATTTTGGAACAATTCAAAGAAAAGAAAAAAATCCATACAAGCTATGCTGATTTTCCAACAATTTTCTCGAACCTCAGCCCACCACTATCCTCTCATGTTCAACATCTTTACAATAGAATCGGGAATTTTTATTGTTCGTCACGCATATAAATACGCACATTATCATTCTTACATTCAAAACTCTTATAAAAACATCTCTTTGCATTTGGTTTTATTCCTTTACAACCCAGCACTCGCTCTCATTCACTCTTGATTTTATTGTTCCGTTTGTACAGCTTCTGCTACTGCGGTGCTGTTTCGACACTCTAGAAAACAAAAGACGATGCGGCAATATACTTTTATTTTAATATAGATTTAAGGACATGAAAATGAAAGAAGTCGTTGGGGTTGGGTGCATGGCTGTGATGGAGTGAGGCAAGAAATGAAAATTTTCCAGATTTTATTTTATGCAATGTAAAAATTTATGGATGGAAAAACAACCCCTTGAGATTGAAGTTTCACTTCTTATTCTTATTTTTTTTTCGAGGGTTGGCTGATGATAAAGATGATGATTGTGACATTAAAATAAAGATCAACTTGAATCTCGTGCAAACATCCAAAACACATACCACACATATTTCACCAATTCTCGCATTTCAAAAACTTAAATGCGAGTTCGAGATTTTTTTAAAGAATTGGGGTATTTAAGGGTGCACAGTGGCATATGTTTGAGTCAGTTTGTGGAAATTTTGAACAAAATGATGCATATAGAAGTATATATTTTAATTCTAATAACTTAAAGCATTTAAAAACATTTTAAAAATTTTTAAAGAATACAAAAAAAATTTTAAAATATTTCAAATAATTTTAAAAAAATTTTGAAATATTTCAAAGAATTTTAAATAATTTTAAAATACTTTAAATAAATTCAAAAAAATTTAAAATATTTTAAATGATTTTAAAAATTTTTAAAATATTTTAAATGATTTTAAAAAGTTTTAAAATATTTTAAATGATTTTAAAAAATTTTAAAATATTTTAAATGATTTTAAAAAAATTGTTTTAAAATAAATTTCAATTTTTACCAAAAGTTTTAATTTTTTAAACATTCTTCAATTTTTTCAAATTTTAAAAAATGCGCTTCATGGCCCTCAAAAGTCATCACCCTTCACATTTCTTCTTCTTTCCTTTCGAAATTTACTCCTGAAGATAAAAATTTATGATCGTAAACGTCGCTGCTTTAAACGACTAGAATAGAAAGAAAAGTAACAATAAAGTGGGGAGAGCACATATGTTCCTTTTTTTATGTGATACTCTAGCATCGACTAGGCAAGGCAGGCGGGTCCTGGATTTTATAGTTTAAAAAATAAGAATTGGGAACATGTAGAGGAAGAATAAAAAAAGAAAACATTTATCAGGCAGGATACATGAGAAAGGATGGAAGAAAAATTGATAAAATACGTGATTTAATATTATTTGATTGGAAATGAATAGAAAAAAAAAAGAAATATTCGATTTTTCTTCTCTTTTTGACTTTAATCGCAGGGAAATGAGAAGAACGAGAATTGATTGAATGTTTTTTTGCTGTGCAAAATTTTTGCTTCGTATTGATAATTTATGAGAGAACCAGATGGTTCAAGATTTGCTGGAGGTGTTGTTGAGGAGATAAATATGAGAATAATTCCATTTCTGTTGAACTCATCAAATTCGCTTTAAGACTGTGTTTTTATTGTAGACTGTGAATTCTGCTAGAAATTAAGTTAAAGCTATTAAAAGCTTAAAGCTGTCCGAAAATGTGGCACCAGGATTTCACTAAATCCGGTGTGGTGCCACGTTAATGTCATCCTGGCACCACGTTTTTGGTAATTTTTACGCCATGTGCCTTCCAGGCAAGTTGTTTAAAAGAAAGCATCAAAAACATGTTTAAATCGATTCAGTTGTTCACAAATTCTACTCAAAAGATGTCAAATGTCATTAGACCCTTCTTCTTTCTTAAAAGCTTAACATTATTTAAAAACGACCCCCATTAGACACCAAGAACTTTAATATACTCAAAACTCAAGCCCAACATCCCACAACAAGTCCTTCAAAAATCCATTTTCCTTTTCATAAACATTTTTGTTTTCAAGTTTATGGCAAAACCAAAGAATAAACCAAAAAATGAAAGAAATTGTTTAATCAATACCAAAACCCCTTTTTTTTATAATGCTCATGCCACAAGCCCATCAAGAAAGCCTTATTCTCTATGCCAATGTCAGTCTTTTTCTCTCTTTAATGTGCATGTTCATCAAGATTTCCTCATGAGAGACGCAAAAAGTTTCATTTTCATTCCTTAAATCGATCCCAAATCAATAAATTTCATTTTCCATAAAGATTCCCATAGAAAATATTTCTGGCCGTACTTTAAATAAGAAGTAGAAAAGGCAAAGCACATTTCAATATCTAAAATGGGTTTATAATAAGAATAAAGGAATACAATAATAATTCACAAAAGGCCGCACTTGAAAAGGCCAAATTTTCTTCTTCCTCATCGAATTGTAGGTCTTATCCAGATCTTATCAGCATCCTGAACTTCCTCGTCTTATTTTTATGTTGATTCAACAAAGGATGAAAGAAAAGTTCAATACACACATATCCTCGTTGTGTGTATCCATATCCCATTACAATTCAGCCTGCTCACAGGAGGAATTGTTAAAGTATCAAGATGTATCTAAATAAAAAAATGGCATCACAATGATCACAATTTCCACAATCATAAAAATTGTATTTTATTTTTTTTTTTTTGTAAAAAATACAAAGAATATTTTGAGTGATGGAGCTGAGATTTGAGTAAGGACGAGACGCATTCTTTGAGATTTTGATATATTTTGTTTTGTGGTGTTTGGAATGTGAGTTTTTGGAGTTATTTGGATGTTATGGAACTTTTAAAAGTAATCAAAAATGTTTGTTTTTTCACCATACTTGAAATATAACTACAATCAGCCATGACCATTTTATAAAATGTTTCTATCATTAGTTGAGTAATTCTTGTTGAATAATTTTTAATTTTGATTGCAATTCTCTTAAAATTGTCAAAATTTGTTGTTAAAAATTCAAAATGGCGAACATTTTCCACCTCAAAAAGTTTTTTCTGATTTCTGAACTCATTCTTGAGAACTTTAGCAATGTTTTGATTCAAACTGGTTCAAAAAAGTGGCAGAAGAATTTTTGGAACACTCGGATTTGAAAAACTTTAAATTAAGGCTGATTATTTTAAAAGCATTAAAAATATCCTCCATTTTGAAACTTTTTAAACTCAACCGAAAATACATTCAACTTTAATAATTACGTTAATGCTTTGAAAATATTCAAAATTCAAAAATCACATCTACAAGAAAATCTGCACTTCTGAATAACCCCTTTACATCATCCAAAAATGCCCCAATAAAAAAAAAATCCTCCCACACTGAGATTGTACATCATGCATTGTGTATAAGAAATAAAAAAAGGTTTCCCTGCTGATTCAACTGCCTCCTTCCATGACTGATGACAAGAAAGGAAAATAAAGAAAAGGAAGAAGAAATAGGCAATAAGAAAAAAATAAATTCAGATTTAAAATGGGTCTCATATGGTCGTAATATTCTTTTTATATATCATTGGCATTCCCCGTTTTTTGTGTGATTTGAATTTTAACGAATGCTTCGGCATTTAATGAAAATAAAATCATTCCTCCTATTCATCCTTGGTATCTAGGATCGTTAGGGTATTACGTCACGTACAATTATCATTCTTCTTAAATCTCTGTAACAATCTGATACTGTAACGATACGAAATGTAAGGAGGGGTCTTTAGTGTAACGTTACATCAAATGAACTCCATATGGACATCAATACAGATGCACATAAAAGAATTTTCTCTCAATGATGGTCATATAAAGTCAAAAAGGGGCCGAATTTTTTCACATTATTTTTCCTCATAAACCGATTAAATGGACATTTCGAAATAAAATGAGGATGACTAAAGTGTGTATGAAAATAATAAAAATCATCGGCAACAAAGTAAGTTCAGTTCGGGGGGTGTCGAAAGAAAATAAAGGAAATTGCTTAACGATACGATCAATAAATTTCCACTTTTTTCACATTTTTATATTTTATTTGTATATTTATAGAATCTGATGAGTCCCCGGGGATTTATTTAAGGGATGACTACTTGGGCGGTCCGACCGAATTACGTGCACCAACTGCTGAACGAGCGGCATTGTTTTTGGACGCTGCATTGGCTGGACGAACAAGTAGTATTTATGAGCCAGCATTAATATTCACCCTACACGTTTATCAATATTCACTGGGTGCGGGAAAAGGTGGTGGTAAGTATTTAGAGCATGAAAATTGTTATTTGTGCTTGCAATGCACAAATCTTAATTAAATAGACGAAACATTTCAACACAATTTTTTTCACTCTGCTTAGTTGCTGGTGGAAGGAGTCGACTACATCTCATTGATCTGGGTGGATGTGCAAATCGATGCGGTGGACTGCCATTATCAGCAGTTGGGAATGTTGTCTTGTCGATATTGAGTGGACAGAGACATCCACCTAATCGAGAACATCCTTTAACGCCTTTACTGAAAGACTGTTTAGCACCATTAACATGTCACGTAGCAATTATTGCACATGTAGGACACACACAGGTAAGATAAAATGATATTGTGGAATGGTGTTTTGTTGTCTATAGTGTTGGAATTATTAAGACTTAAATAGCTTGAGGACAAGACGAGTTTTCATGCCAAGAAAGTTTTTGAAAAACTTGTGTTTTTGAGTGCAGTTTGGTTGACTTTGAAGTGGAAGGGGATGAGTGTGTCATTGCTTATCCAGACAATGGAATAGATAGAATTTAGCTAGCTCAAGCAGATAAAATGTTTCTTGTGACTAAATGACATCTTGTCCACATCCTCAGACAGCATCAATATTATTGGACAGAAGTCTCATCATCAGGGCCTCCAAATCTTCTAATTTCCGAGCTTACACCAAGATTTTTGATGATTCAAAAATGCTAGACTCAAAAATACGCCACTGACCCTTAAAATGAATCAAATTCCTCACTTACAACTATCACATCCCCATAAAATGATGATAATGATGATTAAAATAGAAAAATACAACAAGAAAAAAAATATATAATAATTAATTCCTGTTATTTTCCTTTCATTTCCCATTTTCTCTCCTTCATATTTAATTAGACTCATGCTGACGCATTAACAACCATCCAATTAGCATCTCGAATTCATCGCCTACGTAGAAGAAAGCATAGATTTCCTATATCGGGTGATAAGAGTGGAAGCGGAAATACACAATCGGGAAGCTCAAGTGGTCCGGATCCATCAAGTTCCGATTTTTCGGCTGATACAGTAATTTATTGTGGTCCATCATTAGATGATGCAACCGATAATGAACATCCGCCCGTCTTCCTTCCTAATCTTAACTCAGGAGATAATCGATGTGCCATGAATAAAGTTCTGAGAGGATCAGCTGTTGAGAAAAATGCGATAACGAAGTCACCTGTAAAGAAGCCAAATATTCAGAAACGTAAGTAGATAGCTAGAGCAATCAGGGGGACATCAACATGATGGGAAATTATTCATCAAGTTGTTATCCTTTTATGTAGTCCAGGGGCGTAGCCAAGAATTTGAAGAGGGGGGAGGGGCAAATTTTTGAGTTTAGGGGGGGGGGGGGGATTTTTGAGTTTTTCATAAAAACTCTAGCAAAATAAAGAAATTTCTCAAGACGAAGGAGGATTTATCCCACAAATCCCCCCCTGGCTACGCGCCTGATGCAGTCAAAAGACAAAAATTCTCTAATTTTTTCCAATTCCCAAAACAGCAACTCAACAAATTTCATTATCATCTCACCAAAAAAGCGATAGTCTTAAAAGAAATCAAGCAAAACATCTCAATGAGGCTGCTGCTGTTCAATCACCAACAGATCATACAATTTATGCTCAAGTCGTGCCCTCAGGATCACCAATAATCGTAGCTGGTGCTCTAAAACACACAAGTGTAAGTAAATCATCGAATTTTCCAACACCAAAAAGTTCACCAATGAAACGGAACCCAACAACGACTGGACAAGAAGCAACAACAAGTCGACTAGCTGAAGAGAGATGGATTGACGGTCCAAAAGTGTCAAAATACAGGGTAGCTGAGGCACGACATCTAATGAGGGAAATTAATCATTTAAAAAATTTTGAAACTTGGATTGATGGACCGAATTTAAAAGCAAGTCCACAACTTGTAAATGCGATAGCCCAAAGTGGTGCAGCTGGGTACGGATTTATGGATAGTCATAAAAAGAAAATGATTAGACAATGGGTTGAGAATCAGACATGCCAAATTTTACATCAAATCGATACAGTCACTACGAATCCTGTACAATATCACACATACTATAAAGCACAATCACAGAATCAACAGCAACAAGTAAAGTCTGACATTAGCGTTCCACGGAATGACGATGATCATAGTTCAATAGGTTCCAAAAATGATGAATTTGTTAATCCGTTAAGTTTAGGTCTCAATTTACCAGCAACAGTCAATCCAAATTTCTCTGAAAGTTCCATAAAGACTGGCTTGAAGCAACAACTCACAAATGAGTATGATCAAGATATTCATTCGGAGAAATCAGCATCAAATATTAGTGAAAATAGACAATTATTTACGAGTAGTGCAGCAGTTGGATGCTCAGCAGATATGGAGGAAGAGGACCAAGATAGTGGACCATCGGAAGTGCCACCTGCGTTGCCATTGATTGAGCCACTTGGATCAAGAGAGGTATCACGGCATGTGTCGAGAGAAAGTTTGTGTCAAAATGTTTTGATGATGGATTGTGCACTGCAGGTGACGGAAGATGATATTGCGAGGGCAATGGGAGGGTAAGTGGAACTGCTGGTATGAAATGTTCTTGATTAATGAGTAATTTTTTGGTTTAAATAGTGAGCACCCTTTATCTGCACTTAGTAATGGTGACATCTCGGTCGTTTCGAGTTTTAATGTTGGCGATACATTCAGTGAATGCATCATTGGTGATTCTACAAGGTGAGTAGCTGACGATAATCTGAAAACTAGTGTCAATAACTTGTTTTCCTTAAAATAATAAATCCAGAAACCAAATGGACCAGCTAGCACGTCTGCGTGAACTATTCAACTCTCAATTAGCCATGGCTGAAGTAATTCCTGCATTTCGTATTGATTCAGGAAGTGTATATAGTGAGCCAGCATATCGTTTTAATTGCGGTCCAGGTAGTGTTTGTAGTGAGCCAGTTTATAGAGCCCCAAGTCCCCGATGTCGTGACTGTAGACAATCAATAAGTAGAACTCCAAGTCAAACATCCCTTCCGAGCTTAAATGGAATTGTAGCTATTGCTGGTATGGAGCCATATGCTTCACTACGTCATCCTGATGGTGCTTCAGATCCGAATATTAAAAAGTCATTAGAGAACTGCGATGTGGATGAGAAAGCTGAAATTCATATCAAAGAGAATCCATTGGCGGATTTATGCGAGACTGATTTGATTGATAAGAAAAATGCTCCAATATTAAGTATCAATAATAATAATAATATCATTCATACCAAACATCCACTTCCACATCTACCATTACTGCCACTCTCAACACCCGAATACGACAGCGGACATGATTCAACGCCTCGAGCATCAAAGCATTCAGGTATATCACGTCGTGCTGAGAGCGGATATCATTCTGTCGCAACCGTACGAGATAGTGATGAATCGAGTTTCAGTTCATCGGCATCACGTCCAAATAACAATAGTAATAGTAAGAATAATGAAAGCACAAAGAATGAAAAGTCATCATCGTCCGGAAAGAAGAAGAATCGACAAGACAAATCATTGTGTCAATGGTTGAGAAATCCATTCACATGTACGTATCCTGACACGGAGGGTGATGTGAGTGATTTCTAAAATGTAGGAAATAATAATAATGAGAAAAAAATGGTTTTTCGTTTTGTCAAGTTTTTTTTGATTGTTTGTTATATGAAATGAATAATTTTGATGGAAAGGAAATGAGCTTTTTTTGGGTTTGGGAATTTTAAAGGATGAGAGGATGAGTGTGGGAAAAATTAGCAGAACTTAACAAAGAAAATTAAGTTCACAATTATTTCAGGTCGAAAATATTCTAAATTGAGATTATTAAAGTTGAAGCAAATCGTTTAAAAGGTCGTTCCAATATGACGTTCATCAAAAAACGTAATTTTTAAACTCCCGTTCCCCCTGTAACACTAAACTGTTACAGATTTGAACCCCCCCGCCCCCCCCCCTCCTTTGTGACTTTTGTCCAATCAAAAGGTTAAAAAAATTTCTAAGTTCTTCGTTGAAAAATTGGGTGTCACGAATTTCCTGACCCCTGTACCTCCCCTGTCACAGTGTGTTACAAATTTTTAACCCCCCCCCCCCCCCACCCCAAAATGTTGGACATCATAAGGGGCCGTTCACTTATGACGTCCAGGGGGGGATCAGCAAGAAAAGAACAATAAAAATTTCAGGAAATCTAGTATTTTTTTTTGAAATATGACCGTTAATTTCGGACGTCATAAGTGAACGACCCCTAAGTGAACGTTCTTAAAAGTTCAAATCCTAATAATGTTATGGAAAATTTTAATATGATTTTTTTTTAACATTGAAGAAGCAATGTTTACATCATCCATGGACGTAGCCAAATAAACTTTTAAATGTGAGAGGGGGGGTGGAAGAATTCGATTATTTCGTCAAAAACCTCTAGAAAATTAAAAAAAATTTCTAAATCAGTCGCCTATGACCCCAAAAATCTTCCCTGGCTACGACCCTGATATCATCCACCAACTAATCTCATTCCCACCATACAAAGCTCATTTCCTACGGAAGCATAAAACGAAAATATTTGAATATATAGTTTATATATTATTATTAACATTATAACATAAACAAAAATGAACAAAAAAAAGTTTTAAATGAAAATTTTCGCATAGCGAAATGCTTTCAGTGTTGACATAAAAAAAAACTATTAAATTATGATAATTCATGGAAATTCCTATTAATCACATAATAAGTTTAGACAAAATCTTGATTTCATCGTCACCTCATTAGCATAAATTTGGATTAAAATTATTATTATAGTATCATGATGATGATGATGATGATATGTGTAACGTAATATTATTATTATGAAAAACGATTTTTTTACACTACGAGCATAATTATGTATGAGAAGTGAAAATGTTGAAAATTCGTATTTTTTTAACTCGTTGCGATTTTGATGATTCAGGAAGTTTAAGTGAAATTTTCTGTTTTGATGGAATAATTATGAGGAAGTGAGAGATGAAGAGGGATAGGAATTTTGAGGTTTCGAGGGCACTGATTGATTTTGGAGATATTTTGACCTTATATTAATTATTATTCAAATTATCAATAAAATATTAATAACTCTTTTGTTATTGAACTTGAATGTGCGAATTTAATTACTTGATAATTTTCTGAAATGTTGTTGGTTCAAATCCCATTCTAATGTCATAATTTTTGGTCAAAAAGTGGATCATGCCCCGATTTCAGCTCTGAAAAAGCACGACAGACCAAATTTTCAAACATTTTCCAAAAAAAAAGGTTCTAAATAGCGGGACATTAAGCTCAAAAAACGGCTCGAAAAAATCTTTTCTTCAGCTCACAACACTCAAACTTATTCCTCACTCAAAAAACCAAATTCTAGAAAAATTCAACAAAAAAAAAATCAATCAAAACTTATTGAACTATCGCCAAACGTTTCACAACACAATTGGAAAATCTCATCATTTAATTTTTTTCAATTTTTCCTCCATCCCATTTAAGAAAATAACAAAATTGAAGAAAAAGTTACTCAATTTATATTTTTTGAACAAGAAACGAAAGAAAAAAAACTTCGCTTTTCATTTCGTTTATTTACAATCACAGTAAATAAATAAATCATCCAGAAAAAAAATACTGGGAAGAAAAGAAAATCAAGGGAAAAAATGTCTGGAATGAAAACTCTCGCAATAGTTGAAAAAAAAATTAATTTTGCTGAAAAAAAATGCAGGAAAAAAATTGTTCATATTATTAATAATTTTATTATTATTGTATTGTGTTTGTATTTATATACGGTTGATGAAAGGGGATTGCAGGCTGTTTTTGGGGGGTTACTGTGAAGGTTAAGTAGAGGTTTTGCAATATTTTATTTCACATTAATTATTGCTGGTTGGCTCAGCTGAGTGAAAAATAAACTTTTGTTAACTCAATGAGCTCAAATCTCATATGGGGTCGTTCACTTATTACGTCCATTAAAAAAACCCCTCTCCCCCTCTGTCACAAAAATTCTTTAGAAAAAAATTTCCATTGTCTGAACTGTCACATAATCCTAGACCCCCCACCCCCCCCCCCCCCTAAAAGTCGGACGTCATAAGTGAACGGCCTCTAACACAAATTTTGTTGATTTTTTTGATTTTAATCATTTTTTATAATCCCCCTTAAATCTCAATATTATAACGTCCAAAAAGTTTTGCAAAAATTGTCCATTTTTTTGTCTGATCAAGAACTTACCCCCCCACCCTTCCCCCCGTCCCCCCCAAAAAAAATACTCACAATCTCCTGAAGTTAATTGAAATATTTATATCATGGACATAAACAAGACAAACAATAATATTTATGGAATTAAATGAATATGAGGAAAAATAGTAGTAATAATAAGAATTTTATATATAAATATTTAAATATCAATAAAAAATGCATTGCGGCTCTGTACTTTATACCATAAATATACATAAACTCTCCCTTTTATTCTCCATCCACCTAAACTAGCTATTTTTTACAGCACTACAAAAAATATGAAATGGAAAAAAAATATTTTTTATGCGGAAATGAAAGAATAAAGCAAGGTGAATTCTTTGAAATATAAATGATGATGCAGAACTAACAACCGGCATTGTTTTATCATTCAGCTTTTTTGCATTCATTTTTCTAGTTGGCTAGTTAGCTTAAGCTCCAGGAAAAATTGCTTTTCATCGTATTCTATTTTTTTACAGAGAGGATTTAAAGCTTTTTGTGTTAATTTTCAGTGCCTTTTGTTTTGCAGGTTTTGAAGTTGAGGATATGACTTGCAAGGGCGTAACCAGAAAATTCTTTTGAGGTTTTTTTTCGCAATTTCTGACGTTATTTTGCAATAATATAGTTTAAACTTTGACCTCAAACCCCCAATCCCTGGCTAAACCCCTGATGATTCGATATAGTTGACTCGAGATCTTTATCAATTTGTTTGGATACAAAATTTCGTCGACTTCGAGCTCTACTCGATGCTAATTTTTGGATAACAGACAATCGTTTAAGTTCCATCAAGGTAATCCCACGTCTCCAAGTTGCTTTGCAGTTAACCAGAAGACTAAACCAGAATAGCAGAAATCGGTTAATGGAATAGAAATCCGGCCAAGCTGGCATGACTCTGGCATGGTACTAGCTTCAATTTAAATCCAGCACTTTGCTAGAATCACACTAGCTTGATGCCGAATTTCTGATCGATTAACCGACTTGTATCATTTGGGAAATCGTTCTTTGATGGCTACGCTATGCCGCTAGGTTGAAGAGGTTTAAGAATGTGACTCAAATAAGGAATACAACCCAATTGAAGGTCCTAGGGCCCTATTGAAATCAACCCTAATTTTGAGGATCAATTTTAGATCACTCCTATTCAGCAGTCAGATTTTGATCCCTAAACTAAAAAGTGGGTTTGATCAAAATCCAATAATGACCCCCAATCTCCACCACAAGCGCACCATCCAACTTCAAAGCATCATCATCATCAAGATTTACATATTTTCTCATTCATCCACAATTTCATTTACAAGTGCATTGAAATTTTCACTCTCAATTCACAAATTCCGCTGCTGTTGTTCATCATTTTCCTATCCAACAATTCCACAATCCCCACCCCCAAACAACAAATTTTTCTATCGTAATGAATTTTAATTAGATTTTTCAAGCATAATTTCCCATTTCAATTAAAATCATGAACTTTCATCATCTGATGCAGGAAGAAGTGAGGAAGGAAACTGACGATAGAGGAAGAAGAAGTAAAAAAATTTGTGCGAAAACAGGAAAGGTAGGAAAATAATTTTTTTAATGCATATTAAGTCATTAAGTGTAGCGAATTAATTCATAAAAGCTCTGTAAATTAATTTGATATACTTATAAGGGTATTAAAAAGTGGCTTTCAATAAATTCCATTAACTCGACGAAAGAAGTTGGCGAGGAAGTGAAGACGAGAGGTAAATATAATGACTGTAAATGAGGGAAGGAAGAAAATAAATAAATGAGAGTAAATTGTTAAGTAATAAATAAATGTGGATAGAGGTGAAATTGAATTGAGGAATTTGAGGTAAGGGAGATGTGATGACGACTTTTAAGGGTTAATTAATGTTGAAATGATTTGAGGTAATTTGGTAAAGGTTGAAAAAGGTAAAGTTTTTGGATTTCCATACAATTATCGTTTTAAAAAATTATACAAAAACAATTTAACTTGATTTTGTGTAAACTTAATTTTTAACTAGGGGTTCGTTTGAAAATTACGTGACGCTTTTGGGCAGTGTTGTTCAAACTATGTGCCGCAACGCACTAGTGTGCTGGAGAATTATTTTGAAAAAACAAAGAACCGAACGCTGTGTGCGGATTTCGTCATGATTTACCATCAAGGTGTGTCGTGGCTCAAACAGTTTGCACACCACTGGTTTAAGAAGATGAAGGAGTATAGGAACTTGTGACTGTTTAAACAATTTCTTACTTCTTCTTCATACAAATTTTGTAAAAAAGGGGATCGAAAAAGTTGATTTTTTGCGTGACGTAATTTGCGAACGACCTCTCACGTTAATCACCCGAATGGCAGAAGTGGGTTAATCGATCACAAATCTGGCACCAAGCAGGTATGATTCTGGCATGGTGCTAGCATCAATTTAAATCCAGCATGCTGGATTTCTCTAAGGATTTCTCTTCGATTAACCGACTTGTGTTATTCGGGTAAAATGGATCTTTAGAGACTGAATCCTAGTGGATCTTCTTATAACTGCTGTATGAATTATGCTAACGTATTAACAGTCAATCTCAGTGTTTCTCAAACTTTTTTGGTCCACGGAACATTTTTTTACATAAATTTTTTTGAGGCACACCTGAATAGTCTCGTTGCACACTAAATGATTTCCATGACCTTTTTGAAGGCATAAAACATAAACCTAGTGAACCGCGGCACACAGTTTGAGGACCACTGGGTTATACTGATTGGTTGCGACGAGCTGAAGGCACTGCGATCCTGATCGATGATAGAATCTATTGATGGGAATCGAACTCGCATCCTCGTAAAAGTCGATCTTTGGTTTGAGATCTCTGCTGCTAAGTCACCAAAACTATTTGTCTCACTTTGGATATTCTTCATACACATATAATTCCTAGATCCTTGATTAACCCCACAAGATGAATTAAACTCATGAGAATCTCAAACTAAAACGTGATATAAATCCTCATATAAACCACACAACTAGAAAATAAGGATTAAAGCTATTACTCTTCATTCTACATTTTTCAGAATTTTCGTAATAATTTACAAATTCTCTCATTCTTAAAATCTCCATTTCACTTCCGCATACACAAAAAAAAACTTTTTCATTTACTTAAGTTTTTAATAACAATAAATCCATGAAACTGCGCTTAATGAGAAAAACTTTTTTCACCAGGATTTTTTGTGTGTTTTTGTGAATGCGG